TATATATATATATATATATATATATACATATACACACACAGACAATAAACAAATAAGAAGGAAAATAACATCAGACATGAGGCTAAGCCTAGAACTGGATGTAGAGCACAAAAAAGCTCACACCAGAAAGGGAGCTCACTGGCAGGGAAATGCTGAAGTGGATCTCTATGTTCAAGAGGGAAAAATCTTTTTTGTCAGCATCGAGAAGTGGGACAGAACCTCTAAGGATGTAGGGTCCCACAAGAGTAGGTGGAGCAGGTGGTTTGGAGTGTGCATGAGGCCCTAGGTTATGCCAGTGTACTGCCGACACAGAGAATTGCATGTTCAGGAGCTCTGGATCTTAGTGAATCAAGTTTGGAAGGTACTATGGGACTGTAAAGTATGTGGTCAATACAGTGCAGGACATCAAGGAAACTGAGAGACAAACCATTAAGAGTCAAGCTCAAAAAGAAAGTGAGTCAAGGTGTGGAGCTCCTGAAACCAATTCTTAACTAAGGTGAACCAGAAACCGGAGTAATGGTCAATGAATCAAGCACCATGCTGCCCTATTTCAGAGTAGCCACTGTCTATGATGTGGTAGTAATGAGAAGAACAACCTCAGGGCTACACTGGATTAGGCTAAAATGAATTCCTGTCAGCAGATAAAGAAATTTGAAAGAAATAAAAAATACAGCTATAATTCAATTGATCTGCAGTGACTTGGAAAATAATTGACAAGGTTTTAAGTTTTGTATTAAGCTGGAAAAAAGGAGACAAATTGCTCTTAAATTCTGTGCACAGTCAGTCATATTAGAAACTCCATGTACTCCATCTGTGGGCGTAACCGTGTTTGTGTTTTGCCTGGTTTTCCTGCATGCTGCAAGTTGCAGCACTGTCATTAGCTGTAACTTTGTATGTGGTTGAAACCACGTGTAACGTTATAGTCAATCACCGAAACTTGACACAGAAAGAAGAGGCATATTTTGATCCATACACAGACTGAAGCAGTTTGATCAATACCATAAAAGAACCAAAGTTCGGTACTCAGCCCTATGTGTTACCCCTAGCATTTAGAAGGTGGAAAACGGTTTACTACATTTCAAAAACTAAACAGGAAGTACCACATCTTCATCTGTACGAAGGTACATCCTCTATTTTCTGTCATAATTACATTGTATGCTTAATGATTAAAGGTTAATGCTTAAAGCTAGTTGTGCTAGTTGGGCCAGATCACTTATATTAAATGTAAACTAATGTAAATTTCTGCTTTAATTTATTATTTTAATAAGCCATATAACTTGATATGATACCAAGTCTTGAACAGGTGTGATGCTGGTGTGTGGCCACATCATGCACATTTGATGTTGCTCACAGTGGTCCTCAGTGTGCTCAAGGAGCTTGTGTGTATGTGCTGGTGAAGATTCCCAGTCATCCTGAACATGGTAAGTTTAGAAAATCTCAAGACAAAAGCAACTGAACTTTATTTGTAACAGAAGGTGTTTCGCTTCTCATCCAAAAAGGTTTCTCAATTCTCAATTCAATCTCTTTGAATTGAAAAAGCTTCTCAGATGAGAAGCGAAATATCTTCTGTTACAAAGTCCAGTTGTTTTTGTATTGAACTTTTTTTTAACTTGTTTGTATGGCCAGACACATACAAAATTGATTTGTTCCATCTCAAACTTGTCCTAAATGCCAATAAAACCAAAGGGATGCTTTTTTCAAACAGGAAATCAGTCTCATCAGTTCTTCCTTTGATTTTATCCTCAAATGGTATCCCTATTGAGTTTGTCGATTCTTATAAATATTTGGGTATCTTGGTTGACTCGCATCTCTTTTAAGCTTCACGTGGAAAATATAGTAAGGAAACTAAAAGTAAAGTTGGGATTCTTTTTCAGAAATAGATCCTGTCCAACTCTGAATGCTAGGAAATGCCTTGTAACTGCGACTTTCCTTCCCTCCATTGACTACGGTGACATTATCTATATGAACGCTCCTACAAGCACTATGCAGATGCTGCCTATCATGGTGCATTAAGATTCATAACTCCTGCAACTACCGTACCCATCATTACACCCTGTATTCACTGATTAACTGGACGTCACTAACCTCACGCAGCCTCTCCCATTGGTATATTTTCATCTTTAAATCATTTCTCGGTCTGCTGCCTTCATACATCTCCTCCTCGTGAGTGCAGCCACAGCGTGTGTTCTCAGGACATTGTTACATGCAGTGTTCCCTCAGTGAGGTATGAACTAGGCAAAAGGGCCTTCTTCTACAACACTCCTGTTTCTTGGAATATCTTGCAAAAAGATCTGAAACTCTCATCCTTGACCTCTCATAGTTACTTAAAAAAACACAGTTAAGTTCCTGGCAAAAACCAATGCAGACATGTTCCTGTTTTTAGCTACTATTCTTCTTGATTGCACTTTTGGTTGCCATTTTGTTTTGATATGTAAAAAAAAGATGAACTTAAATTTGTATGCCTATGCGTATTTTATGACTGTCTATTTTTGTCATTGTTATCCATTGTTGTCATCACTCTTTGTTGAGAAATCAGGTCTCTCTTGTAAATGAGTCCCTGAGGCTCAATGGGATTAACCTGTCTAAATAAAGGTTGAATGAATTAATAAAAAAAAAAATGGAACATTGGTGGGAAAGATTAATGGATGGTATGTTGGTTGGTTGGTTGGTTGGTTGGTTGGTTGGTTGGTTGGTTGGTTAGATGTTAAAACAGAAGAACTAGTCTGCAGAGTGCTGGGTTTAATTCAGTGTTAAACTGGGATTTACATTGATCCATTTAATAATCCAGATTGATTAATTCTGTAAAGTTATTACATAAACCAGACAAACACTAAATCACCCAGACTGTATTTACGTCAGTCAGAACCACCTCACAAATTTTTGCCCATCTTACTCTCATTATTATTATGTTCACCTTAAACAGGATAATTACACTCACCTGTGATTTGGATGCTGTTTGGTTCAATCACTATTGTCCCTCCCACTATCTGATCAAGCCCTGCTCCCAGCTGCTGCTCCACCTCTTTAGTTTCAATTTGCTGGTTGAACCAGAGTTCAAAGGTCACTACCACACTGCCAGGCCTGAAGACACAGATGAGCAAGCTCAATATTTGAATCAATGAATTCAAATGCACAAGAGTAATAGAGGCTGGTTTTTACCCTACAAGATGAGACCCAAACCCAAGATGCAGGCTGTGCAAAGATCCCCCTGAGTCAGGCCAATTGTCACATTTGGGTTTGGATTTAGAAAAAGCCAGGCAGGAGTACAAAAAGAACAGTTTTTAATTATTTTTGCTCCTGGATGGAGGAATCAGGATCAACTGCATTAACAAGTTTTCACAGGCTGGAAGGAGAGAGTCACCTGACAGAATAGCAACAATGACATCAAAGACAGGGCAGCTGTGGAGGAGCACTGCGATATGTAGTTTGTGGGAGGGCAAGTCCAAGAGCGTGATCCAAGTAGAGGAAGCATGGTATGTTACCATGGGCAGAGAGGTAAATACAGGAAGCAAGCACGAGGTTGAAATCCAAAACAAGGCTTTAGGTTCAGGCAAAAGACAAGGAACTATGATGGCTTCAGAATCAGGGACCATGGAAGGTTTAATTATTTGGCACTGGTGGAATGAGAGCTTGGAGCTTATAAAGGGTGCAGAACAGTTGAACTAGATGAGAGCTTATTTCTGTGACTGAGCAGAGGAGGCGTGGTGCAGGGAGACAGGAGCTGAGGAAGGGCGATAGGCATTACAAAGCTGGGGAACATAAATCTTGGCAAGAGGGGCAGAAACTAGGCAGGAAGGTACAGGTGACATGGGTAGGAGAACACAGCATGAAGGCAGGAGTATGGCAGGATAAGCAGAAATGTGACATGAGGAGCAGAGACATGAGCCCATGGGGAGAGTCAGCGGGGACCACTGTCCACCACACCAACAGATTCAATTCAATACAATTCATTTTATTTATATAGTGCCAAATTGGGGGCAGCACGGTGGCACAACTGGTAGAGCTGCTGCCTCTCAGTGAGCAGGTCCTTGGTTCAAACCCCGGTCCAGGGGCCTTTCTGGGTGGAATTTGCATGTTCTCTCCGTGCATGCGTGGGTGCTCCGGTTTCCTCCCACAGACCAAAAACATGCATGTTAGGCTGATTGGTAACTCTAAATTGTCCCTAGGTGTGAGTGAGAGAGTGAATGATTGTTTGTCTTGTTTGTCTCTATGTGGCCCTGTGATGGACTTGCGACCCATCCAGGGTGTACCCCGCCCCTCGCACAGTGATTGCTGGACATGGGCACCGGCGACCCCCGTGACCCAAAAATGGAATAAGCTGGTAAAGATAATGGATGGATGGATGGATGGATGGATGGATGGATGGATGGATGGATGGATAGTGCCAAATTGCAACAAAGTTGTCTCAGGGCACTTTACAAGAACATTCACATACATAGAAAAGCCAACTAGTAACGTTCTCTGTCTAAGGAAGCCAGCAGACAAGTTGAATCTTCACTTGGTCACAGTCTCCCATCCTGAGCAAGCACAATAGCAACAGTGGAAAGGAAAAACTCCCCTTTAAAAGGAAGAAACCTCCAGCAGAACCAGGCTCAGGACAAGCAGTCATATGCTTTGACCGGCTGGGTTTGAGAGGACAGAAAGGAGAGGCAAATGAAAACAGAATGGTAGGTCCAGATATAGGTGCAGGTGTACCTGAAAGACAACAAACACATCTTAGGATAGAAAAAATAATTACAAATACAAAACAGGTTGAACAGCGTAAATAAAAACAGTATCATAGTAAAAAATGGTCAGTTAGTCTTCCAACAATTTAAGCCTATAGCAGCATAACTAAGGGACAGCTCAGGAAAACCAAAGCTGACCATAACTGTAGGATTTAGCAAAAAGGAGAGTCTTAAGCCCAGTCTTAAAACTGGATAATGTGTCAGCCTCACAGACAGAAACTGGAAGTTGGTTCCACAAGAAGGGAGTCTGATAACTGAAAGCTCTGCCTCCCATTCAGTTTTTGGAAACTCTAGGAACCATGAGTAAACCTGCAGTCAGAGAGCAAAATGTTCTTTTGGGAAAATATGGAACAATAAGATCTGTAATATAAGATGGAGCTAAGTTGTTGAGAGCTTTGTAGGTTAGAAGTAGGATTTTGAATTCTATTCTGGATTTGACAAGGAGCCAGTGGCAAGAAGCTAAAACTGGAGAGATATGATCTCTCCTACTAACTCCATGTAAGACTCTGGCAGCGGCATTTTGGATTAGCCGAAGAACTAAAAAAGTTAAATCTGGTCCTCTGGACATTCACAAAAACTAAACAAAACATTGTAGAAACGTTTCATCTTTCATCCGAAAGACTTCTTCAGTCTGAGGTGCTGTATTCAGCTCAGTCTTATAAATACCACCTTCTCGTAGTGGATCAACCAGTTTGCTGCTGACAGCCAAAACCAGCTGCTCACATGAACAAGGAGGACCATCAGCCTAACAATGGATCGTTAGCACCCTGATGGCTGTTTGCTTTTCACAGGAGGCTGAGTGATATTAGCAATTAAAGCATTGTAAGAGGGGGACAGTTGAACATGGAGGCCTCCACCCCTGTTTAATGATGGATGGTTTCTTTTCACAAAGATGGTCTCCTTTACTCCTCTCTAAAATCACCATTCCTCTCTATCAAGGATGTGAATATCTTCATCCCTGAAAGAGTGACTGCTGGCCTTCGAGATGAAGACCTCAGAGTCCTGTCCTGATGCAGTTGATCTTCTGTGCTAAGTTACAGCACCATCACAATTCCAATAACAACACATTCAGTTGAAGACAACACTACGGTAGACAGTTACACAACAGGGAGACAGAAAAGTGGGTGAAGAATTTATCTGACAGACAGCTCACCCAGCCAGAGACAGAGATTCTTGCCAGGGGCCTGAACTTTGCGGTTGTGCAAAGAAGAATTCCTCTGGTGGAGATGATCACAGCCACTGAGTCAGCCATCCACAACAACAAAATTAAAGAGTGTGAGGCAGAACAGCTCAAAATCAAAGTTTCAGCCTGCATCAGCAATGCCAAACCACCACCTTTCAACATCAGTAGAGAGGAGAGGGAGGCACTCACCACTCTTAGCAAGGACAAAAACATCATCATTCTCCCAGCAGACAAAGGAAGGTGCACAGTGATTTTGAACCAGAAAGACTATCATGAGAAAGTTATGACACTCCTTAGTGACTTAACCACTTAAGAGCCACTGAAAAGAGATCCAGAAAGTGGCTACAAGAAGAAGTTGATAGATTGCCTGAAAATTTTTGGAGTAGGACAAGGCTACTGACCATATTCTGTACCATAGACTGTTCCCAGATTAGGCCACACCTAGTCTGTATGGTTTACCTAAATTTCACAAACAAGGTGTACCTTTAGGATCAATTGTCAGCATGATTAACTCAGTCACTTACAATGTTTCCAAATATCTGGCATAAGTACTCATCCCTTTATTTGGCAGTTCAGAACACCACATACAGAACACCATGGACTTTGTAGATAAGGTGAGAGATGTCATCATTGAAGACTGATGAAACAGTTTAAGGTTAAAATCAGATGCCACTCTCAGCAGCAGTACCGCACTTTCCACAGAACAACTGTGTCAACTCTTGAAACTGTGCTTGCAATCAACCTACTTCACATATGGGGGCCAATATTATAGGCAGAAACTTGGGTGTGCTATGGGGTCTCCAGTTTCTCCAATGGTGGCCAACCTGTACATGGAGGATGTAGAAAAGCAAGCCTTGACGTCCTTTCCAGGGACACCACCAAGTCATTAGTTCAGGTATGTTGATGACACCTGGGTTAAAATTAAATCTTAGGAAGTCCAACTTTTCTGAATAAGAATAAGAAGGCCGCGCTAATTATTTATAGCTGCAGCTTTGTGCACTCCGCCCATCTTCGGACGACTGTACATACGAATTCGCATTGTATCTCAGTGCAATGCCAATAAAGTTTATTCTGATTCTGATTTTCACTGATCACATCAACTCTGTGAATAAATATATCAAATTCCCCCGAGAAGATGTAAAAAAATGTCAGGCTGGCTTACTTGGACTGTGAGGTCTCAGTTTCTGATAAAGGACATTTGCAAACTCAGGTGTACCCCAAACCCACCCACACAGACCAGTATTTGCAGTTTGACTCCCATCACCCTTTGAAGCACAAGTTAGGAGTCATCAGGACTCTGTTCCACAGAGCAGGCAGCATCCCCACTAACTCAGGAGCCAGGCACAAGGAGAAATCCCACACAAGACAGGCTCTAGAGCAATGTAGATATCCTAACTGGGCCTTCCTGAAAGCAGAGAAGAAACCCAAACAGGACTCCAGCCAGCCATCAGGTGAAAAGGAGGAACTCATACCCAGACCATTGGTCATTCCATATGTTGCGGGAGTATCAGAGAAACCGAGACATTTATTTTCTAAAAATAACATCCCAGTGGCTTTTAAACCCCAAAATGCATTACAGCAAAGACTGGTTCATCCCAAAGATCCAGTCCCTCGGCTCAAACAGAGTAATATTGTGTATGTTGTTCAGTGTCAGGAGGGCTGTGATCAGTCTTACATCGGGGAAAATAAACAGCCACTGGCCAAAAGGATGGCCAAGCACAGAGGATCAACAATATCTGGCCAGGACTCTGTGGTCTACACTCATCATCAAGGCTAGTAGTCATTCTTTCAGGAATGAAGATGTTCACATCCTTGATAGAGAGGAACAATGGTTTGAAAGAGGAGTAAAGGAGGCCATCTTTGTGAAAAGAAACCATCCATCATTCAACAGGGGTGGAGGCCTCCGTGTCCAACTGTCCCCTATTACAATGCTGTTATTTCTAGTATCACTCAGCCCCTGTGAATAGCAAACAGCCATCGGTGTGCTAATGATCCATTGTTAGGCTGATGGTCCTCCTTGATCATGTGAGCAGCTGGTTTTGGCTGTCAGTAGCAAACTGTTTGATCCACTACGAGAAGATGACAAATATCGTAGACAAATATATGTGTATCATCAGCATAGCCATGAAAATGTATCCCATGCTGTTTAATAACTTTAGATAATGGAAACATATATAAAGTAAAGAGTATTGGTCCAAGCACTGAGCCCTGAGGAACTCCATGACTAACTTTGTTGTATGAAGAAGATTTATTATTTACATTTACAAACTGGAATCTATCAGATAGATATGATTTAATATAAAAGGAACGTGTAAGATGCAAGTAGGCAAAGCTTACAGTACGTGGAATGCCATAACCAAGTAGCTGGAATATTATGCAGCAATATCTGGAATATTATACAGGAACATTTGTGCCAAATATGGACAGGAAATTCCACAGTCAAAGTAGGAGACTCCACCACTGGTGGTGGAGAATGGGAATGCTAAGATACTGTGGGACCTTCAGATCCAGATCAACAAACAGGTGATGCCTAACCAATTGAACATTGTGGTGGTTGACAAGCAAGATAACAAGGCAGTGATGATAGCTGTAGAAATCACAAGAGATTAACATCATGAAGAAGGAGTAACTGGAGAAATACTGAGGGCTGAAAGATAAAATACATAAGTTGTGGGGAGTCAAAGTGTCAGTAGTCCTCAGTGCTGTGACCCAGCAAGCTAGAAAAATGACTCCAACAAATTCCAGGATCTCATTGATCTCTTTCCAAAAGAGAGGACTCCTTAGAACAGCTAAAATACTGAACCTTCAAGCTTCTAGGATGCAAGTATGAAGAGAAGCCAAGCTTTGCTTGGTGCTGCTTCTTTGCCTCTCAGTCCACTGCCGGTGACATCATCATCTCCATCTCCCTCAAGGAGCCCCTCCCTCACCTGTCAGTGAAGATTGACCTGGCCCTGGGATTTCAACCTCCACCAGCAACTGTGTTATAATAAACATTTTAACTCTTCATGTTGTCTGTGGTCAAAATCAAATCCTAAAAACTTGTCCTTGTCAGTGAGGTGTTCATTGATTGACATAACACAACCCAAACGATCATTCACTTCTCTTACATTAATGTGAACAATATGGAATTAGGATCAGACCGCCAGGGTCCCCGCCCTCGGCCACCACCCATCCCACATTGCACCCGACCCCTTTGGCCCCTCCCACAGGTGGTGAGCCCATGGGAAGGGGGACCCACGTCTCCTCTTCGGGCTGTGCCCGGCCGAGCTCCATGGGTAAAAGCCCGGCCACCAGGCGCTCGCCCACATGCCCCACCTCCAGGCCTGGCTCCAGAGTGGGGCCCCGGTGACCCACGTCCGGGCAAGGGAACACTAGGTCCATTTGTGTTTTTCATCATAGGGGTGTGTTTGGGCTGCACTTTGTCTGGTCCCTCACCCTCACGGGTGCAATGTGGGATGGGTGGTGGCCGAGGGCGGGGCCCCTGGCGGTCTGATCCTCGGCTACAGAAGCTGGCTATTGGGACGTGGAATGTCACCTCACTGGTGGGGAAGGAGCCTGAGCTGGTGTGTGAGGCTGAGAGGTTCCGGCTAGAAATAGTCGGACTCACCTCTACGCATGGCTCGGGCTCTGGAACCAGTTTCCTTGAGAGGGGCTGGACACTCTTCCACTCTGGAGTTGCCCCTGGTGAGAGGCGCCGAGCAGGCGTGGGCGTACTAATTGCCCCCCAACTTGGTGCCTGTGTATTGGGGTTCACCCCCGTGAATGAGAGGGTGGCCTCTCTCCGCCTATGTGTGGGGGGACGGGTTCTGACTGTCGTTTGTGCTTATGCACCAAACGGCAGTTCAGATTATCCACCCTTTCTGGAGTCCTTAGAGGGGGTACTGGAAAGTGCACCTTCTGGGGACTCCCTTGTTCTGCTGGGGGACTTCAATGCTCATGTGGGCAATGACAGTGAGACCTGGAGGGGTGTGGTTGGGAGGAACGGCCCCCCTGATCTGAACCAGAGTGGTGTTCTGTTGTTGGACTTCTGTGCTCGTCATGGATTGTCAATAACGAACACCTTGTTCAAGCATAAGGGTGTCCATATGTGCTCTTGGCACCAGGACACCCTAGGCTGCAGTTCGATGATCGACTTTGTCATCGTCTCATCTGATCTGCGGCCACATGTCTTGGACACTCGGGTGAAGAGAGGGGCGGAGCTGTCAACTGATCACTACCTGGTGGTGAGTTGGCTCCGATGGTGGGGGAGGATGCCGGTCAGACCTGGTAGGCCCAAACGTATTGTTAGGGTTTGCTGGGAACGTCTGGCAGAGTCTCCTGTGAGACGGAGTTTCAACTCCCACCTCCGGGAGAACTTTGAACATGTTCCAAGGGAGGTGGGGGACATTGAGTCTGAGTGGACCATGTTTCGTGCCTCTATTGTCGAGGCGGCTTACCAGAGCTGCGGCCGCAAGGTTGTCGGTGCCTGTCGGGGCGGCAACCCTCGAACCCGATGGTGGAGACCATCGGTGAGGGATGCTGTCAGGCTGAAGAAGGAGTCCTATCGGGCCTTTTTGGCCTGTGGGACCCTGGAAGCAGCTGATGGGTACCGGCAGTCCAAGCGACATGCGGCTCGGGTGGTTGCTGAGGCAAAAACTCGGGCATGGGAGGAGTTCGGAGAGGCCATGGAGAACGACTTCCGCACGGCTTCGAGACGTTTCTGGTCCACCATCCGGCGTCTCAGGGGGGGGGAAGCGGTATGCCACCAACACTGTTTATAGTGGGGGTGGTTTGCTGCTGACCTCAACTCGGGATGTTGTGGGTCGGTGGGCGGAATACTTTGAAGACCTCCTCAATCCCACCGGCACGTCTTCCACTGAGGAAGCGGAGCCTGGGGACTCTGGGTCGGGCCCTCCAATCTCTGGTGCTGAGGTCACCGAGGTGGTTAAAAAGCTCCTCGGTGGCAGGGCCCCGGGGGTGGATGAGATCCGCCCAGAGTTCCTTAAGGCTCTGGATGTTGTAGGGTTGTGTTGGCTTACGCGACTCTGCAATGTTGCGTGGACATCGGGGGAAGTTCCCCTGGATTGGCAGACCGGGGTGGTGGTCCCCCTATTCAAAAAGGGGGACCGTAGAGTGTGTTCCAACTACAGGGGAATCACGCTCTTAAGCCTCCCTGGTAAGGTCTATTCGGGGGTTCTGGAGAGGAGGGTCCGTCGGATAGTCGAACCTCGGATTCAGGAGGAACAGTGCGGTTTTCGTCCTGGCCGTGGAACACTGGACCAGCTCTACACTCTCAGCAGGGTCCTGGAGGGTGCGTGGGAGTTTGCCCAACCAGTCTACATGTGCTTTGTGGACTTGGACAAGGCTTTCGACCGCGTCCCTCGGGGGGCCCTGTGGGGAGTACTCTGGGAGTATGGGGTACCAGGCCCTTTGATACGGGCTGTTAGGTCCCTGTATGACCGGTGTCAGAGCCTGGTCCGCATCGCCGGCAGTAAGTCGGGCTTGTTCCCGGTGAGAGTTGGACTCCGCCAAGGTTGCCCTTTGTCACCGATTCTGTTCATAACTTTTATGGACAGAATTTCTAGGCGCAGCCAAGGTGTTGAGGGGATCCGTTTTGGTGGCCTCAGAATTGCGTCTCTGCTTTTTGCAGATGATGTGGTCTTATTGGCTTCATCAGATCGTGATCTACAGCTTTCGCTGGAGCGGTTCGCAGCCGAATGCGATGCGGCCGGGATGAAGATCAGTTCCTCCAAATCCGAGGCCATGGTCTTGAGCCGGAAAAGGGTAGAGTGCCCTCTCTGGGTCAGGGAGGAGGTCCTACCCCAAGTGGAGGAGTTCAAGTATCTTGGGGTCTTGTTCACGAATGAGGGAAAAATGGAGCGTGAGATCGATAGGCGGATAGGTGCAGCGTCTGCAGTGAAGCGGGCGCTGTACAGGTCTGTCGTGGTGAAGAGAGAGCTGAGTCAAAAGGCGAAGCTCTCAATTTACCGATCGATCTACGTTCCCACCCTCATCTATGGTCACAAGCTTTGGGTTGTGACCGAAAGAATGAGATCTCGGATACAAGCGGCCGAAATGAGTTTTCTCCGCAGGGTGTCTGGGCTCTCCCTTAGAGACAGGGTGAGAAGCTCGATCATCCGGGAGGGACTCGGAGTAGAGCCGCTGCTTCTCCACATCGAGAGGAGCCAGTTGAGGTGGCTTGGGCATCTGTTTAGGATGCCTTCTGGACGCCTCCCTGGTGAGGTGTTCCGGACACGTCCCACCGGAAGGAGGCCCAGGGGAAGACCCAGGACACGCTGGAGGGACTACGTTTCTCGGCTGGCCTGGGAACGCCTCGGGATTCCCCCGGAAGAGCTGGCCCAAGTGGCTGGGGAGAGGGAAGTCTGGGCCTCCCTACTTAGGCTGCTACCCCCGCGACCCGACCCCGGATAAGCGGAAGAAAATGGATGGATGGATGGATGGATATGGAATTAAAAGTGGTGTGAATTAATGGTTAAAAATGATTTGGACAACAATTGATAAGTGGTATATTTACCAGGATTCAGCAGATTAATAGATGAGTATTAAATCTATTATTGATCTATAGTGATTTTATTTTATTAGCATTTATCTGAATAATCAATAAATGTGTGACTAACTATTTTGTTATTGGTCCATGGTTGAGTTATTGAGGATTTACAGTGTAATTTTTGATTGATTGACAGGTAAAGTGATCGATCAGATATCTTACCTGAAGTATAAAACCTTACAGAATCTGAAATGCCACCACAGCTTGCTGACACTGAACGCCTCAGACACCTGTCAACCAATAATAAATATCAATTCAACATCCTAAGCTTATGGTCATGTTCTCTATAAAATAAAAGCCTGAAATTACAGAAGGCTGATGGTAGTGTTTCAGAATAAAATCCACAGGACATAAACAATGTTGACAGCAGTTTTTCCATAGTAAAATCCACAACTGTCAGAATGCTGTTTGTTTCAAAATAAAAGTCAATAACGACAGGATGTTAACTGTTTATCACAACAAAGGTCACAAAAATCACACAGTGTTTACTGCAGGTTTTTACAATAAAAACTCTTATGGTGTGTTGTGATGATCTATCACAATTAAAGCCTATAGTCTCACCAGCTGCTGGACATCAAAGGCCAAAGACTTAAAATTCTGACTGCTGGAGTTCCTCAGCTCATCAGAAAATTCAGCTCCGGCAGTGATCACCATCTGACCCAACAGCTGCTCAGGTTCTTCTGTGCCTGGACACATGATCAATGACATCATAAGCACAGCACCTGGAGTGCACCAATCATGATTAAAATTGGTTACCTTCAGGTTTCAGGCTGATCCAAGAAACAGCAATGAGAGCGATGCAACAGATGAAAAGAAGAGAAGAAACAGTGAAGAGTAGGGCCTCTAGAGATGACACACACCGAGACATCCTGAACAACCAGACCAGACAATACAAGGTCAGACCAGACCATAACATCAAATCAGACAAAAATAAACTAAACTTAAACTTTATTTTGAAAATTCAGTTCAGTTCCCTTCCTGTTTGCTGACCTCTGAATCCTCATGAACATCAAATATCTGAATAGACACAGCATGAAGCCATGAAATCAGCCAATAGTATCACAAGCCAGTGTATATCTTGCATCAGTTCCAAGCCCAGGTTAATGATGAGGGCTATGTCAGGAAGAGCATCTGATATAAAACACTTTTGCCTAAACTATAATGCCATTTCAAAGTAAAACCATACTGGATTGGCTGAGGCATGGAATAACTATGACCACCACTGGTGCTGTTTACAAACAAGGTGCTGGCAAAAATTGTTCTACTGTTAGTCGAAGACTATGGGAGGGTAATGGGTCAGGAGACAGAGGGAGCAAGGCTCGCAGCACTGGAGCAGGATTTGAACTGTTACCATGGTGAGGATAGAAAGAGAAAAGGGAGTAGGGGTGGTCCTGAAGGAGGAGTTGGCAAAGAATGTGGAAGAGGTGAAAAGAATGTCAGATAGGTTAATGTGTCTGAAGGTAGAAGTAGAAGGTCTGATGTTAAACATTGTCACTGGTTATGATCCACAGGTTAGATGTGATGTGGTGGAGGAAGATACTGTACATTTTGAAAGGATCTGGATTGAGTGACAGAAAATATTCCCAGCAAGGAGAGAGTGGTGATCAGAGCAGACCTGAATGGGCATGTTGGTGAAGGAAACAGATGGGGTGAGGAAGTGATGGGTAGGTTTGGTTTCAAGGAAAGAAACCAGGAAGGACAGATGGTGGTGGATTTTGCCAAGAGAATGGAAATGCTCCAGTCAACACCCATTTTCAAAAGAGAGAGGAACATAGAGTGACCTATAAGAGTGGAGGAAGGAGTACGCAGGTCGAACCCATTCTGTGTAGAAGAGGAAACCTGAGGGAGATTGGAGACTGTAATGTTGTGGCAGGGGAGAGTGTGGCCAGACAGCTACAGATGATTGTGTTTAGAATGACTGTTGCTGTGAAGGAGAAAAGAGTAAAATCAGAGAAGACCAAATGATGAAAGCTGAAGGAAGAATGTTTTGAGAAATTCAGAGAGGAGCTGTTAAAAGGCTCTAAGCAGCCAGAAAGAGTGTCCAGATGACTGGGCTGCTAAAGCAACAGTAATTAGAGAGACAGGTAGGAAGGCACTTGGTGTGTCATCTATACAGAAAAAAAGATGATTAGGAAAACTGGTGGTGGAATAGTGAAATGCCAGATGCTATTCAAAGAAAGAGGTTAGCCATGAAGAAATATGACAGTGAGAGGACTGAAGAGAGGAGACAGGAATATAAGGAGATGGGACATGGACTAAAGAGGGAGGTAGCTAAGGCAAAGCAGAAGGCATATGATGATTTGTGTGGGAGGCTTGACACTAAATTCAAAGTCAAAGTTTATTTATTTGCCATTCACACCACATGTGGTACATGTGGTGCAATGAAGTTTTGTACACAGGGTCCCAGTTACATGCAACATAAGTATAAATTGTAAAGAACAGTAATAAGATCTAATGAAACAGGAAATAAACTAAACAGAGAATATGCTAAACACTAATAGTGCAAAAACAACATGCTGAACAAGAGCAGCATGAAGATGAGTCTGTGTGAGCAGATGAGTACGAGTGAACACAGCAACATGAATTAAATCAGCAGCATAAGATCAGCAACATGAATATCAGCAGCACATAACAACCAACTGGTATTACAGTGATTTTTTTTCACAGTGATAATCATGATTAGGGATTTATGAGTCTAACAGCTTCAGGGTAGAAGCTGTTCCTCAGTCTAGTGGTTCTAAATTTAATGCTCCTCAATCTCCTGCCTGAGGGCAATAGGGCAAAAATTGAGTGTGCTGGGTGAGTGGGGTCCATCATGATGCAGGTGGCCCTCTTCCTTCATCTGGAGGTGTAAATGTCTGTGATGGTATGGAGGATGCCTCCAACAGTCTTCTGTGCAGCCTTCACCACTCTGCAAAGCTTTTCTTTGTGCATGCTTTCCACATGTTGATGCTGGAGCATAGAGGGTGAGAAGGACTTGTTATGATTGGCAAGACAGAGGGATCAGACTGGAAAGGATGTGCAGCAGGTAAGGCTTGTTAACGATAGGAATGGTAATGTTCTAACAAGTGAGGAGAGTGTGATGGAAGATAGGAGTACTTTGAGAAGCTAATGAATAAAGAGAATGAAAGAGAAAAGAGAGTAGAGGTCATATAAACTGGACCAGGAAGTGGGACAGCTTACTGAGGGTGAAGTCCAGAAATCTATGAAAAGAATGAAAAATGGGAAGGCAGTAGGACCTGAAGACATACCAATGGAGGTTACTAAATGTGTAGGAGAGATGGCAGTGAGGTTTTTGGCTCAAAATTCAATGGCATATTTGAGGGTGAGAACATGCATGAAGAATGGAGATGAAGTGGGCTGGTGCCCATTTTTAAGAAAAAGGGTGATGTACAGAGTTGTAGCAACAACAGGGGAATTAAGTTGATAAGACACACAATGAAGACCTGGGAGAGAGTTGGGGAAGCAAGACTTAAATGAGCGGTGACTATCTGAGCAGCAGTATGATTTCATGCCAATAAAGAGCACCACAGATGCCATCTTTCTTCTGAGAATGCTGATTGAGAAGTACAGAGAAGGTCAGAAAGAACTCTAATGTGTCTTGGTAGATTTAGAAAATGCATATGACAGGGTGCCAAGGGGAGAGGTGTGGTATTGCATGAGGAAATCTGTGTGTCAGAGAAGTATGTTAGACTGGGACAGAACATGTATGAGGACAGCAGGACAATGGTGAGATGTGCTGTATGTGTAACAGATAGCTTCAAGGTGGAGTTGGGATTGCATCAAGGATCGGCTCTGAGCCCCTTTTTGTTCGCTCTGGTTATGGACTGACTAACAGATAATGTCAGGCAGGACTCCCTATGGATTATGATGTTTGCAGATGACATTGTGATCTGTGGTGAGAACAGGGAACAGGTGGAAGAGAACTCGGAGAGGTGGAGGTATGCACTCAAAAGGAGAAGAATGAAAGTCAGCCATAGCAAAGAGTTCAAGACAGAGTACATGTGTGTAAATGAGAAGGAGGCAAGTGGAACAGTGATTCTACAAGGAGCAGAGGTCACAAAAGTGCAGGACTGCAAGGACTTGGGGTCCACTGTCCAGGAAATTGTGGAGTGTGGCAAAGAGATGAAAAAGACTCAAGGCAGGATTGAGTGGAAGGGGAAAAAAAAGTTTCAGGAGTGATTTTCAACAAAAGGGTGTCAGCAAAGGTCAAAGGAAAAGTTTACAAGACAGTTGTGAGACCAGTTGTGTATGGTCTGGAGACAGTGGCATTGACAAAAAGATAGGAGACAGAACTGGAAGTGACAAAAATGAAGATGTTGAGGTTCTCCTTAGGAGTGGCAAGGATAGATAAGATTAGGAATGAGATCATCAGAGGTACAGCACAGGTCGAACAACTGAGAGATAAAGTTAGAGAGGCCAGACTGAGATGGTTTGGACATGTCCAGAGGAGGGACAGTGGATATATTGGGAGAAGGATGTTAGAAATGCAGCTGCCAGGAAAAAGACAAAGAGGAGATATATGGATGCAGTTAGAGAGGACATGGAGGTAGTTGGATTGAGGACAGAGGATGCAGAGGACAGAGTGAGATGGAGAAGGAAGACTAGCTGTGGTGACCCCTGATTTGGGAAAAACTGAAAATATGTAGAAGTGTGATTGAATAATTGTCATCTGCGTGTTTTGTGATGTTTGTGTTTATTTTAATGTATTCCGATGCATGCTCAAAAGTTTTTTTTTGAATGTCCAGAGGACCAGACAACTTTTTTGCATTTTTTATGTAGTTTACTGAGTCTGTTTTTCCTGTTTCTAGTTTCCCCAGTCTTTCTCTCCTCATCTAGTCAGCTCTAGCCACTCTCACTTGTTCCTCACTGTCTTTTTCCAGGTGTTTGTCATTGTGTCTTGTTAGTGTCTCTTTAAGTTCAGCATCTCTGTGTTTCTACGTTGTTCATAGATTTTGCTTCCCACACACTGACATGCTCTGGTCCTCTTGTTTCCCTATACTCATAGTTCTGCCTTTTCATGAGCTTTTGTTTTGAGTTTTGTTTATTAAATAGATACATTTTATTTATCTTCCAGTCCTCTGTGTCTGTCTGCATGTGGGTTCAACATGCTGATCATGACAGTAATACAATATAATACAACACTATAAAGCACTTAAAAATCAACACCATTGACCAAAGTGCTGTACTCTGATAACACATACAAGAAAATGTAAAAACAATAAAATCATTTGACACAGTAAACTTTAAAATCATAAAAAACAATATACAATAGAGCAATAGAAAACATTAAAAGCCAACATCTCAAGCTGAGTTAAAAGCCAAGGAATAAAAATGTGTTTTTAGAGAAGATTAAAAACAGGAAGTGATGTCAAATGTAGCTCATTCCACAATTTAGGGGCAGCGACTGAAAATGCTCAGTCACCTCTCAGCCTCTTGTTAGACTTTTGAATGACCAACAGCAGCTGATCTGCTGATCTGAGAAAGCATGAGGGAACATACAGCTTTAGCAAGCTGTACAGCTATCGAAGACATGTGAAAACAAATAAAATAATCTTAAAATTAATCCAGAAATGAACTGGGAGCCAGTGTAGTTAGTCTAAAACAGGGGTGATATGCTCTCATTCTGGTACAAGTTAAAGATGAGCAGCAGCATTCTGAACCAGCTGAAGTCGAGTCAGTAATGACTGGCTCAGACTGACAAAGTGCATCACAATAGTCCAGATGAGGTGAGATAAAAGCTGGTTTAAATCTCAGAATGATGCCCTGAAATAAATGTTTGCCCTTGGTCAGTTGTCTCAAGTGATGAAAGCTGGACTTGATCACTGAGTCTGAAATCATTGTCAAGCCTCACACCCAGGTTGTTGCAGAGTAAACAATACAGATCTCAAAGTAACGTTTAAACTGTAGGACACTATTTCTGATTGATTCACCTTTTTCTCTTCAAAACACACAAAAATTGAAAATCAAGAATAAAAACAAAGTAATGAACTTTTGAAGTTCTTGTAGTGTTTACCTTAGATCAGCTGTTCTCTGGTTTGAAGAGGACAAAAATGGTTGTGGATCAGAAGCAGAGTAACTCTGCTGTCTTAAATTTGGAATCTGATTGAGATTAGTTTTTATTGATCTGTAAATGCTTTTACCCTCATTATTAGCTGATGAAATATGCTGCAGCTGATAAGAGCAGCTGGAGGTGGCGACAACAAACTCACCTGTCCTTCTCTTCCCATTCTCAGACAAGACTTTTACAACCACAGTCAGCAAAAGAGGACAGTTTGAAACTCATTTTGCCATTTTTTACCATGTTTCACTATAAAATACTGGGTTTGTGTTCAATCACATAAACACACGCCTTATTACCTGACCTGTGCTGGTAAAGTTGCTTGTCTTACCTGATGTCAGCGTCATCTGACTTTTTGTTGTTCATCAACAATCTAAAGTCCAAGAGCCATAAACCTGACTGATAATGTGCTGCTGCTCCCTGACCACACCTGGCAGGTGCAGCAGAAAGCCAAACTATGTTGTCACTTACTTATTATTAATAAAATGTCCAATAAAATATTTAAAAGTGATATGTCAGCACAGACATCTGTTAACAATTCTTGTGCTTTTATTAGTAGATTTCTGATTACTGAGCAATCATATAATTCTATAATTTATCCAATAATTAGGGTTGGCTTGTTATGCTACAACTGGAAGAGAAACTGACCAAAATTCTTATAATGAATTGTTGCAATAGAATTGTTTTCATTTGAAATTATTTCTTGTGATGATAGGGTGATGGTGAGGCTAAAAGCTAACATTAAAGCTGGTAAATTCAATTCATTTTTGTTTATTTATTTATATAGTACCAAATCACAACAAAGTTATCTCAGGGCACTTTACAGAAACATTCACATACACTTTGCTGGTGCAAAGAAAATAACCTTCATATCAATGTGAAGAAGAAAAAGGAGATGATTGTGGACTTCAGAAGGAATAAACACACCTACATTCCCCTGAACATAAAAGGATCTGCAGTAGAAGTGGTCTCCAATCTGTTTCAATGTTGCTGCTGATCTGTTTTAATGTTTCTGCTGATCTGTTTCATGTTGATGTGTTCATGCGCACTCATCTGCACACACAGACTCATGCTCATGTTCGTGCTGCTGTTCGACTTAATGTTTTTGTGCTATTAGTGTTTAGTGTATTCTTACTTGACGTTTTTTTTTTCGTTTTTCATATTAGATGTTATCATAGTTTTTCTTTTGCATTTTTATTGTTGGATGTAAATGGAACCATGTGTGCATAATTTCATTCCACCACATGTACCACATGTGGTGCGAACAACAGTAAAGAATCTCTGACTCTAGTATGTGGTTAGGGTTAAAGTCAAGACCTGAATGGGTTTTATGGTAAAATCAGAAAGTCCTGGTTAGGGTTAGTCGGTTAAGTTATGGTTAAGTTTAGGCTAAGTCTCATCTTGGTTATGTTTAGGGGTGGTTAAGTTCTGTACAGTAAAGTAATTCTAGTCTTGTCAATAGTAGGGAGTCACAGGGGTTGTCAGAGATGCCGGAGTGAAGGGCGGGACCTGTTGCAGGAGGCACTGGCTTGAGTTAGGATTTTTGAAGTGTGGGCCCTGCCATGTCAAAGACCCCATCGCTCGAGGCGTAAGGGTCCCTGAATGCACGGGCACACCCACCAGGAGTCCCACCCAAGTCCTACCTCTCATTCAAACCCCCAGGGATACTTGTATTAAGTCTACTGATCCATATCTTTTCAGCTCTCCTTCTCTGGGCTACGGACCAGGTCAGATTGGACTCCAGCACTGTTGCTGTAACAGCCTGCCAGCCGTGTCTGACAAAGTGCTGGACAAGGGGTATGTGTGTGTTTTTCTTTTTGTTTATATTGTATCTGTGTTGGGTGAAACGAGCAAGAATTGTGTTGCCCGTCTCACCCACATAATTGATCTTGCAAATTCTGCATGTGATTAAGTAAACACAATTTTTTGACTTGGGGTTTCCTGATTGTTCCAGTTGGAACACGGTCTTATCAGATTTACTCTGTATCCAGTCCAACAGTTAAAAAATTCACTTTTGCCCCTGGATTTGGTCTGCTTTAAGGACTT